TCAAATCATCTCATCTGCTCAGCCACGTTTGGCTTCGATGAGGGTGGGTGGCTGTGGGAACAGCTCCACTTTCCCCCAAACAGGCTGTGGTGACGAGCATCGACATCCAGAGCATGGAGCCCATGGACCAGAGCATCCGCAATGCCCTGCAGCACAGTGTCCAGCTGGCCATCGAGATCGCCACCAACTCCCAGGAGGCTGCCGCCAGGTCCACATGTCACCTCATGTCCCACCAGGTTCCTCCTATGTCCCACCAGGTCCCTCCTGTGTCCCTCCAACGCACCTTCCAGCTGGAGATCAAGATCAGCACTATCTTCCAGGAGGCCACCGCCAGGTCTCTGTGCCCCTTGCGTGCCCAAATGTCCCTCCATGTCCCCATGCTCCAGCTGGAATAAAGAGAGCCACTATCTTCCAGGAGGCCACCGCCAGGTCTCTGTGCCCCTTGCGTGCCCAAATGTCCCTCCATGTCCCCATGCCCCTTATGCCCCCCCCATCCTCCAATGTTTCCTTATCTCTACCTATATGCACCATGTTGCCATATCCCCCCATATCCCTAAATGTCCCCTACATCCCCATGTCTCCCATACCAACCATGTCCCCTGTATCCCCCATATCCTCAACATGCCCAGTTTCCCCCCAGTGTCTCTGACATGCCCCACATTGCTGGTGTCTCCCTGCACCCCCAACATCCCACATGTCCCCCATGCCACCCCACCCCTCGGTCCCTGTCCCCAGGCACAAGGCAGAGCAGCTGGCACAGGAGCCCCAGGGACACCTAGAGCAGCAGTGCCTCCTTGACCAGGCAAAGGCTGAGCAGGCATTGCCCCACAGACCCCACCACAATGCATGGGCTGGCTCCAGGAGCTGCGCTCGTTAGGAAGGGGTTAAGTAAGTAGGCAGGGCATGGCATGATCAACCAACAAGCTATTTTCGTATGACAGACCCTTTTTATGCCTCCATTTTCCCCTACTTGTTCCTCCCTAAACCCCCTAGATCCTTTGCTTTGGTTCCTCCACAAAGCATCTTATGCAATGCCAAGACGTCCTGCTGGGAGACTTCAGCCACCCCGCCATCTGCTGGAAAAGTAGCACGGTGAGCTGTAGGCAATCCAGAAGACTCCTGGAGTACATGGAGGATAACTTCTTAAGTCAGGTAGTAGACAGACCTACCAGAGGGGATGCAATACTGGACCTGTTGGTCACCAACGCAAGTGAGCTAACTGGTGACGTCAGGACTGGAGGCAGCCTGGGCTGCAGTGATCATGCACTGGTGGAGCTTGCAGTCCTGAGGGATATGGATCAGGTGAGGAGTAAAGTCAGGACCCTGAATTTTAGGAAAGCAAACTTCCAGCTCTTCGAGGAGTTAGTCAATAGGACCCCCTGGGAAACTGCCCTCAGGGAAAGGGAGCAGAACAGAGCTGGCAGATCTTTAAGGATGTTTTCCATAGAACACAAGAGCTCTCGATCCCGAGATGTAAGAAATCAGGAAAGGAAGGCAAGAGACTGGCATGGATGAGTTGAGACCTGCTGGTCAAAATAAAGGGCAAGAAGGAAATGCACAGGCAGTGGAAGCAGGGACAGGTATCCTGGGAAGAGTATAGGAATGGTTGTGTAGGGATGGGGTCAGAAAGTGTACGCCCCTGATGAACACAACTGGCAAACTGGTAACAATGGACAAGGAGAAAGCTGAGGTACTCAAGAGCATTTCTGGCCTCAGTCTTCACTGGCAACCTCTCTTCCCATATCTCTTGAGTGGATGGACCTCAAGGCCACTGGGGGAGCAAAGTCCCTCCCACTGTAAGAGAAGATCAGGTTCATGACCACCTGAGGAACCTGAACGTGCATAAGTCTATGGGACCCGATGAGATGCATCCCAAAGTCCTGAGGGAATTGGCTGATGTACTTGCCAGGCCACTCTCCATAATATTTGAAAAGTTGTGGCAGTCAGGTGAAGTCCCCGGTGACTGGAAAAGGGAAACACTGCACCCATTTTTCAAAAGGGTAGAAAGGAGGACCCTGGGAACTACCGACCTGTCAGCCTCACCTCTGTGCCTGGGAAGATGATGGAACAGATCCTCCTGGAAGGTATGCTAAGGCTCTTGGAGGACGGGGAGGTGATGTGACACAGCCAGCATGGCTTCACCAAGGGCAAGTCTTGCCTGACCAACCTAGTGGCCTTCTATGGCAGAGTGACTACATCAGTGGACAAGGGAAGAGCTAC